CTTATCAATTTTTTACAATACAAACAAAGGTTTTCTGTAACTCATACAGAATTATCGACTAAAGAAAGTCAAAAACAATAATTTTAAATTAACGTCTTAATATAATAATTCGTTCTTTTTAATGATCTGATCGACCATATCAATGCAGTACTTTAAAAGTTAAGTCTAGTCTATCAACAGATCTCAATATTAATAGACCATCTTTATTATGATTTCATAAAGAATTTATTTCAAAAAGGATTCTTTTTAAGAGAAAACAAAATCATCAAATAATAATTTAACCAATATAAGGAGTTTGAATAACAACGCCCTTTGTGTTGACAAAAACTCGTACACGATCAGTTCGATAGTCTAAAGTGACCAATGAACCTTCAAGAACAATGAATACATCTGTAAAACCTAAGCAATAAATAAAACAAAAAAAAAAACCACCATTTTCTCATGTAAATTAAAAATATATTTACCAGTTTTTTCTTTAATATATTGTACGGCATATGTACCTTCACGTCCAACTAATTCTGGCCATGACGATTGCTGTACATTGTTCAATAATGGTTGTAGAGCTCTATCTATTGATAACGATTTAGATATGTTCTTTTTTTTATTACGCGAAACAAAAACACTAACTTTCTCCAATAAACATAACTGGAATATCAATTGTAATGAGACTTTCAGTGCCAATTTTAACATGTATAGGTTGTTGATTAACATATACAAGTATATCTCCTTTTTTGATAAGTGCTGATAGTGAGTAGGACAATGCTGATGAAATATTAGTTGAGATTCGAATTTGATAATAGAATGGAAAAGCAACTATATTTGAGATTTCTGTTTGTTTGATTACCATCGATGAAGCATTAGCTATTGATGTACCTTCTAGTCGGATAATAAGTCGAGAACCAGAAGGAACTGTATCGACTATATTGGCATTACCATTGACTAAAACTCGACCACGAATGATAGTACCAACTAATGAAGTAATAAATAAAAACGATTAGAGAAATCAAACATCAAAAAATGACTTACAGGAAACGTGTACAAGACAGAGGAGTGCAATAAAACGAAACATATTGAAACCTAAAAAATATAATATTTCTTTCATTACTATAAATCAGAGTTTTATGATAAGAAAAATTTATTCTTCATCCAATTATGCACTACTTCTAATAAATTAGTACAGAAAAATGTTTAACATTTACAAAAATCTACCTTATTATTTTCTCTTTCTTTTTCAAATAACTATCGTAATATAATTTTCAATCTATATATACACCTCATATGCAAACTGAAAATGAATGAATAGCTTCCATAATAAAGTGGGAAGATAGCATCTGATTTTCGTTTTTTTTTCAGCCTTGACAACACGAAAAAACCTTTCGATTATCATTGCATGATAACGTTAAGCGCTAGTAGCAAGGAACAAATGCAAGTAATAAAGAAAAAAAAAAGTACGCGCAAGAGAATGTCAAAATAAGGGAGTAAGCAAATATCAGTTAGATGAAAACTAGAGAAATGAGAACGACGGAATACTGAGGAAAATGAAAAATATTAGTAATCAACTTGACAAATAAAATCAACCAACTTTTTATAATCGTTCGATTCGAACCGCTAAAACTTTATTTTACATTATTTATTTCATAAAAAAATAAATATTGTTTATACAATCAATAGCATAATGTTAAAATATCCGATGCTATAACATTCGTTGATGTACATCCAGGTCAAATGCACCCCGTCGGATCCGATCGGATTTCAACTGTCGAAAACCATTATTATCCATTAATTTCCGACGTCGAATTCCGACATACGATCTGATAATGTCTAACAATGGGAACTTGTCGAATCTGACGAAATCCGATGGTATGAAAATATCTATAGATACTTTATTTTAGTTTATTTTATTTTATCTTATTTTTTTTACTTTATTTAATTTAATTCTATTTAATTTTAGATTATATTACGGCACGAAGCCAAACAACAGTCTAATTTATATTTACTATTACTTCTCGGACAATAAAAAGTACCTTCATACTGTTATTTTGTTGATGAAAAGCCATTAGTCATTTTATTTATTGTTTTCTTCTAAAAGTAAATCTTACTCATCATTTTCCTTATATTGTAGTTTCTATACCAGTGCTCGGGATATGGAGACATTGAACGATTGGTCGAAATGAAATCGAGAGTATTTGAGCTATTTATTTCTATAGAATAGATTTTTTTTTCGAGCTGCGGGACATGAGAACATTGAATCATTGGTTGAAATGAATCGAGAGTACTTGAGCTATTTCTTTCTATAGAATGGATTTTTTTTCGAGCTGCGAGACATGGGGACATTGAATGATTGGTTGAAATGAAATCGAGAGTATTTGAGTTATTTGTTTTTATAAAATAGTTTTTTTTCGATGCTCGTGATATGTGGAATTGAATGATTGGTTAAATGTTTAGTGTTAGGACACTCGCTGTTAAAAAATTGAAATTGAATGATTCATGCGATTTAGAATAGCAGCCGATCTGATGTTGAATTGATTGAGTAATAATTGGACTACAAACGGATTGTTGATTATCTATTCGATAGACTTATTGTGAGAAAGTTTATCAATGTAGGATTGTAATTTAGAATTAAGAATGCTCATTTTTTTTATAAGAGATTCACATGAAAAAAATAAACAGACATAGAATGTGTTTCTTGATTGAATGTTCCATAGCAACGAACGTCAATCGATTTATTATAAGGAGATGAATAAAATTCATAAAATTCTAATACTCACTAAATAAGAATGGTTAAAAATGCAAATTTTCTATATGTAAATATTTTAAAATAATTCAAAATAAATCATAGAAGTTCGATCAATCATTTAGAATCGCTAAAATTACAAATATTAATTATCGTGTGACTCATATTATTAGCATACATTCCAAACTCAACTGAATTCACATGTCAACTGTGACAGATGAAATTTTTCGAGAATGATCTAATAGTTTAGTATTTTATCATAGAATGAAGTGACTTACAAGTAAATGTCCTACATAAAATTTTGTGTGTTCTCAAGAAGCTTTTAGAATATTAGCTCATTTCTTAACAGTGGAACTGTATCGAATAGAAAAACTAAAACTACTATTCGTTATGATTATGAAGTTTCATTGTTTTTTGACGCTTCAATAGAGAAGATTTAAGAATTCCAAAAAAATCATATTATTATAATAAAAAGTCATTTTTTTCTAGTTCCTGAAAAATATAGAAAAAGTTTTCATTGTCTACCTAATTCACTTTTATTGTCATAAGGAAATCATATTGAAATTTCTATTCATCTTTAAACACAAATGCAAATGTAACAATTTACAATATGATACTTTTTTGTAAAATTAGTCAATTACTCTCATTTTGAGACGATGATAGAAGGAAAATGTAAGTTATACCACCTCTCAGGTAAGTAACTCAGGGCTTACAACATGACTGATAACAAACCGATAATCTAATTTCGATTGCAGAGACAGTTTTCTATATTTTTGAAGGTTTGAACCCTTCCCATGCAGTCAGAAATATGAAATTGACGCGCTAAAATAGTTCTCTTTTTTGTTTTATTCAACGCGTTGTACAAACTCAAAAATGTCCGGAAAATCGCGTTTTAACACAGTGCTTTTTCTTTTACTTCAAACACGTTTTTACGGAAAACGTGTATTAACTCGTAATTTCGGACATTTTCGACTGTGCACAACGTATTTCAATAAAGATCAATTTACTGTGTTGATAGAAACAACACATTTAAACTATGGATGAATAGACATAACCTACATAGCTTAATATTACAAATCAAATTAAAATATAGTATTTACTAATGAGTAAGAGATACCAGATAACATCGATTGGGAGAAAGTTGGAAGTTATAGAGCATATACCAGTAGCGTAGTTTCATTTCTTTTCAGAGAATAGGTTAATGGTCACGTAAATGTAAATAATCGAGTGATAGCTTTCTAGCAATTTTTTGTTTGTTTTATCTTATCTTCCAAATAATAAAAAAATTTGCAAGAATAACTAACTCAACTGTTAAGGATCGCATGCATTCTAAATTTAAATTGTCGGATCTTGCTTATTCACTAGAAGATTTTCACTATTTGAAAGATAAAGTAAAATGTTAAATGTCGCTAGAAGACTATCTCTCGAGGGTGGGTGTGAGTGTGGGCGGGTGTGGGTGTTTAATGCGCGAAGTGCCACACTCACACTCCACACTCATCCACCCACACCTACACCTACACCCACCCACACCCACACACCCCACACCCACACTCTCACTCTCACGCCCCACACCCACTCACATCCACACCCACACACCCACACTCTGACCATGTAAGTCTGATCTATCACAGAATGAAATGAAATAGGCAACAATTTTAAAAATAATCGTAGTCTTTTTTTTGTCTATAATCAGGTTTTCTTATAGGTTCCTCTTAAGATTAATCTTTATTAGTTATTGTTCCTTATTAAACGATGTCGCCTACTGTGTATTTTATAGAAACTAAGATTGATATATAAACTTTCGATGAACTGAATTTCTTTGTGCAAGTATGTGATGTTGACGGTTAATGGTCTTGTTCTCTTTATCTTGAATATTTTATTGTCACTACATGTAATTCTTCTAAGAGGAGTGTATAGATAAAAAAGTACTCAAAAAGAAAAACGAAAGGAAAACATGATGTAAAAAAAGAACGCAATGTTGTCTTGAGGCGAAGGTAAAAAAAGAGCTATTTGATAACGAACCTACCTCTCCAGCTTATACAACACTCGCCCAAGTCGGAAGAAACCAACAGTGAAATTGGCTCGGTATGGTTAACTTGCATCATTTTACTTTAATAAGCACCTTATTAGAAGAATTTCTAAGACTAAAAAGAGTATTCCAAACACGATAAAGAGAGCTATATAACATACTACAAGTCATGAGATTTCGAAGAAAAGACCAGAGAAACAAGTTGATTCAAGAGTTTACTTCACTAAATCTGAAAAGTAGTTCTTCTAGTTATTTGCACAGATCCGAATGGGTTCAAGTCATTAATTCTTTCGAGGAAAATCTATTACTTCAGTTTTACGAAGACATAACATGTGGAAACTATATAGATTATTGAGTTTCTATTAGTATCAACTTCTATTTTAGTCTATCCACAGGGAAAATCACGAAATCCTGGAACCTTGAAATTCTCTGAGCACTAAGAATTCTCTATGGTAACTTATAATTCTAAGTATTCCTCCAGATCCTAGAGGATTCCAGAGTTCCCTAGGGTGTGAGTAGGAGTGTGGAGTGTGGACGTAGGTATAGGTGCAGATGTGGATATATGTGTGAGTCGGCTATTCCTCATCATTTACACTCATCGAAACACCCACCCACCCTCGAACCTAAGCTTGAAGAAGAACCAGAAAGTGACATTTTAATGTTTTTTCCTCAAAGACGTTTTAAAAGACGAGTTGCATAGACCCTAATTTAAAAGTGTAACCAGTATATCGGTCACAATGCTGCTCTCCTAGATGGAGAATCGAAGATCTATCGGTTAATAACAACTTTGAGTCGAATGGTAATTGGAATCGATTGAACCCTATTTTATTAGTGCCTAAACTTTTCAAAAAATACGTGGTAACCGCTATATTCTTCTTTTTGTAAATTTGTTATATGCTCCCAACATATACTTCATATCAACTTACATCTTTTTTTCCTGGGAAAAAAGTACAGATAAAGAATACTCCTTCGTGTATGATCAACTTCTCAAATAAAAAATCTGTGAGATAAGAACGAGCAAGTTTTAATTGCATACAACAGGTGTAGCGGTGGTGGGTGTGGATGAATCTGAGGCTCATACCCACACCCACACCCAGCTAGAGTCAGGCTAAATTCTGGTCTCATTTGAGCGTTCGTTGCTATAGAAACTATGGGAGTGATGTATCGAAAAGATATTCCTTTGTAAAGACATATAGAAAACTTTTCCAATCACAATGGCTCACATATAGCTAGACGCTTCTCGCGCCGCTGTATCGAATGACTAAAAGCCGAACTCGATAGCCATCAACAGTCAAGAGCTATTCAAAAAATGGTGGCTCGCATTTAAAAAAAAATCTGACAATAGTACTTCTAATATCCTATCTTCAATCCAACTCATCCTTTCAGTAGAGAGTTAGCAACGTTTGCGCTGCGTTACTTGTTCTATAATCATCTCATCAGGCAATGTCGCACGACGATAGAGAAGCTACTCTGGCAGTTGTAAATCTTTCTGATTCATATGCTTCATACTGTCCGTCAGCAAATGGAAACATAACATATAGCAGAATGGTTCAAGCGAATCAACTTTACTTATATCACCATTTCCTAAGGTTGTATTTATCAATTTGTATAGACAAGATTGATATGTGATGACACGAGGGTATGGGTATGGGTGTTGATGTTATTGTAGAGACCACCCAGATCAACACCCACACCCTCAGAGAATGCATCACTCAAGATATGAAAATCATATTTTTCTTTCTCTCTCTACCATAAGAATTCTTTCGTTCTTTTTATTGAATCAAGCAACTTCTGACCACCTTCTTCCTACACAATATGATAACGTCAGAAACGAGTGATAAAAGTAGTTAATATGACGCAGTAGAACTCGATGCTTCATATCTTGTGGATTTTTCCAACGGATCTTTTTGCTGTCACTAATAAAAGAACGATGTATACAACGACGATACTTGCATTTCTTCTTCATAATCAGATCTATCACGACGATGTCAAGTTTCTAGACAAGTTGTTCAGTCTGCTTGCTCGGATGCGCAGGCTTTGTGTTTATTCCATGCATTTTTGTTGGTTCATTCGGAGCTGACAAATATGTCAAAATACGCAAGAGCAATGCTCTGTACACGGAAACAACATGTCTGTTACTCGATTACACTAAGTTTGTTCACAATTGTCTCTCGTGTTCAAGTCTTAATGCTCGCAGCTGTACAAGTTATATTTGTTATGACGAACGCTTCATCGTCTCATATCCAATAGCGAATGGAACAATCGTGACAAGTGTGCTTTCTATTAAGGACAATAGACAACTACACACGCAAAATGAGGTATGAACCATGAATATATATCATAGATTTGGCACTGGTTTAATCCAATTAACTATCATTGAATTTCTTTTTTAAAACATTTCATAAATATCATATAGATAAATTTAAAATTAATCTTCGATATTTTATCTAATCGGTTTTTTCAAGGATAGGTTTAAATCGAAGCTTGAAGTTCAGATCCGAGTGCACAGTTTCAATTCAGTGTTACAGAGGAATAATCACAAAAAAAATCAAGATGAATGACGTGGTATAGCTGTGCAAAAAGCACCCGAGTTTGAAAATGCTTTGTTTTAAATCTGAAAGGTGGTACTAGCATTGATCATCACGAGTGAGGAATCTGTATTATCGAATAGAAAAAATAGTTCAATGGCTGACTCTGTCATTTTGAGGACCAACGGGTGCTAGTACATGAGTCATCATAGGTAGACTTTGAGATACTCTATTAGAAGAATCTCTATGAAAAACTTATTTGTCCAATTGTGAATCAGAAGTTTAGTACAAGTAAGATTCATATTCGAAAAATTTTCGAAGACATTATTTCTATTCGGTTTTGTTTTATAACAGATTGGTAAAAACTACACATGTTATTACGAACATGATCGTGTCACTTTCATTCTATGGTCTTTAATAAGTTCACGAGGTGCATTAATTCAACTGTGCATTGGATTCGGCTTGTTGGGTGGTCCACTTATTATCGCAATTATCATATTATTATTCGCATGGATATATCGGATGTTTAATAAGATTAAAAACAGTTTTTCGTCATATGCAAGTAGGAATGGCAAGTTCGATCTGCCTCATCAAGGTTCTAAAGAATTATTCTGATCTGTAGTTTTCTTATTCTGATAAATAAAAATAAAATAAAAATCGCTGAAGCTTTTCAACACACCTATTCATTCTCGTCATTTCATTCTAAACGAGAAGAATGAACATTAAGAACTTGAAATACTCTGTCGAATTGATGAATTCGGACAAAGTCGAACAGGTCCAGTGATGAATCGTAGGTCAACGATTCCAGCTTCCTCACTCAAGTATACTTCAGTACATATTTCATGTACTGGTAGAAATGCATTCAAATGAAACAATGTTGTATACAAGAAGTGTATCACTGTTTTCATTCTCAATACTTCTTGGACTTGAATAAATCTACACATTGAAATTTCACATTGATCGATCTTGTATGAAGATCGAGAAAACTATCTTGTATGCATCAACATGATTATCTTTTGATTGATAATATTTATTTTTGTCCTTTTTCTCTCAATATATCGAATAAAATTTTAATAATTAATTCGGTTGATGTCCATAAGTAAATAGAGTGAGTCGAAGTTCTTCAAATACCTTGAATCAATTGGTCAGACATAAATATTACTGTGTTGCTTGTTTATTTCATAATGTTGTGTTCATAATGAAAGAGGTAACTCTTCTCAAAATAACTCCGATCTCAATTCAAACACATATCCGATAGTGAGAAATATTTAGAGTACAGTAGTTGTTATCGTTAAGGAAAGAAGTCAAAAAATATTACGGTTCTAAATGTTTTGCTTCCACTTTACTTATTACAAATTGAATATAGTAAAAAATAACTTGTGTTGCTTTATTTTTTTGACAAATTTTCTTATATTATTTGTTTTTAATATAAACACTTAAATGTCAATTATTATTAGTATAGAACGAGTCTCTTTTTCTTATTTAGAAATCGACTACAAGATTTCTATGATCAATATTCATCATCATACAATGATTCAAATTATTGGCATGGAAATAGTTCAAATTCATATGATTTTTATGGTTCAACACTGGTGGAAATTCTTCAATTTCAACATCCATCTCATATACTTTTACAACAAAATGGTTTTATTCAACAAATTTATCTTAAACATAAATAAGAATGTGCTTGATGGTAAACAAAAAAAAGTTGATTGCAGAGAAAAAAAACAAAGATTTTACTCTTTTATGGATTTTTTAAAATAAATACTATCATTCTTATCTACATGATAAATTTGAAAAGCAATACAATAATCGTCAATGATTAAAAACACTAAGTTTCACTAATCGCCAAACTTTATTATTTCATAGAAAATATTTATAATCTAAAGTTATGTTGATTTACAAATAAAATACATTTTGTTTTCTGTAATGATCTAATTTCTAGAACGCGTTAAACTTGGTCCTGGTCAGTCAATGGAAATGAATACACTCTATCGTTTTTAGTCATTTTTCTTATGTGAAAATTTTAATCGCCATATGTATAATGAATTTAAACAATATGCTGTTGAAGATACTAAAACTGATCATCGGCATATAAATGAATTGTTTTTATGAAAAATAATAAGCAAAAAAATTGAATATTATTATTTATGTATAGATATGGTGTTGAATGTCTATTTCGATTTTATACATATGGTCTAGAAAAACATTTTCGTCAACATGTATTTGAAGATTTTCAACAAGAAACTCTTTGTGATCATGAAGCTGGTAATAAAATAGATTACAAAAAAAAATAAAGTGTCAATAAGAAAATATTTTTTCTATTTAGGTCAATTGTATGGTTTAGAAAACTTCTGGGCATTTTTAAAATATTCTCGACAAAAACCAAAAATTAATTCAAAACTTGAAGAAATTTAAAAAAAAAACTATAAAAATCGTGAAGACTTTCGTGTTGATGGTGCATCATTTCCACGACAATTTTTTCCAACAAAATCAAGAATTATAGTAATTGAAAAACATTTTTTTTTGTATGATATACATAATTTCTTCATAGACTGTTCCAGCACTCGAAGCAATTGCTGCTGCAGTAGCAAAGAACAGTGATACATCAAATTCATTAAAACTCAATGGTGAACAATATCTGAACGGTGCTAAACTTTATGCACGTTTTGTTTTTCTTTTATTTTGTCTAAAATAAAAAACGGTACTCATATTTTTTCAAGTGGATTTCGATTTATTTAAAAGTATGCATGTATTTTTCTTTTGCTTTCAAAGTTTATTGTTATTTAATCTTTTTGTATGTATATATCACATTCGTTTGTTATTGTAGTAGATAGATAGATTAAATAGTGATGCATTTTCTTTTTCTATCGATAGCGATATGAAGAATTTTCATATGGTTTCGTTTTGTTTCTGGAACTATTTGCTAATAAAAACAAAACAACTAAACAAATTTAATTTGATTATAATTATGCATGTTTTTCTTTTAGAAGAAAAAAAAGATAATAGTTTCATCTCGTTTATTCAATAATATTGGTAAGATATTGAGATAAAATTTTATTTCGATAGAAGAATTTATTATTTTAGGAAGAATTGGTATTGGTTTAGCTATTGCTGGTGGTGTGATTAA